TTTCTGTCACATATTACAGAAAAATACCCTATATAACAGTTTTATGCAGCTTTTATGCTTGTTTTTTCCTATAAATATACGTTTTCCATTTTCAAAAATCCCTCTTTCATGTGATTGGCCCGTTGAAGGTCGTTCGCTGATTAGTAGTCAGTGGTGCTAAACGTTTAACTTAGCCAATCCAGCTCAGAGAACATAACCACATCAAAAGCATCCATCTGAGCTACAAATCTTCTCCATCATTGTATCTAGATAGAGGTTTGCATTTGGAATACTATTAGACAGTCATGGAAAACTAAACTTCTAGTCTGATTCATAAACTCAGTGCACATAAACTCCTCAACACATCTCACTGAAGAAACTGAACACACACAGATCCAGCCAACATAAAACTTCTAAGACAGTTAATGCCTCTGTGATTAATAATAGTCACAGTAATAACATGAACAACACATTCATAAAATAAAAATATGTTTTGAGAAAATATCTTACCACTTTTGTACACATATTATAAGCCATCAAAACAAATCAGCCCACACATTGTTTATTTTGTCCTTACCTACACATATGTTTGTTTATTTCCTTTTTGTTTACGTTTCTTAATGTTTAAATGAGGTAGAGTCTAACAAAAGGTCAATTACTTACTGTTTCATAGAAGTGCCATAATAATAATTTACGGATACTTAAATATACATATCTATATTCAATTAAGCAAAGAAAAGTACAACCGCCCAAGTGTGTAGAATTAACCTAAATTTGTCAGTATGACAGCTTGTAAATGAGTGAATTTGTGCGATTATATATAAATAGTGCTTCATTCGTTTCGATTCATTCCTATTTAGCTGACCTTTACGACTTGCCCCCGCAAGCACACTTCTCTTTCCCATACAACCTCCCCCATCTTATCCTCGTGTCCATGCGCAAGTCATCGTTACCTATTTGGGCTCTACTCGATGGCCTAATGCGCGATGTTCCTCAATAGTCTACTAATCGTGTATCCGACCCATTTCCTTTTTTATTCGGTAAATTTGTTGGGCTTCAAGTTCCTCCCCTCATATAGACATGAGTGTTGAAAACGGGGATTGATTTTAGAGCAGTGAATGCCTAGAATCTAAAGGATAATGGAGAATGCGCCTTGCAGTTTCGGTAGATGATTCCAATAGTATTGTTTTCATTTGTCTCAATATTTTTTTTTACTGCGAAGTGTTTTGTTGTTTCTCGTAGACAGTATATTCAACACCAACTTTAAAATGAGATGATCTCTTAAAATCCCGAGTAAAAATAATTAAACCCAGCTGTGATTTCGAAAATCTTCCTACTGAATATGAAAGCATTCCGAAAATTGCGACTACAATAAGAAAACGCATGTTGCCTAAAAGACGACAAAGTCTCATAACTTCATACCACGTTGGGGAAATGAAGACAAAATCAGGAGCACTTAAACAATAGATTATATCCACTGAAATATTGCTTCTCCAACTTAGTATCCATGATCACAAACTAACATTCAGGTGGCATGTTCATTATTCCTTCATATCAGTGCGTGTAGACAACTACGAACATCAGTTCGGCTGACAGGATGCAATAATCTCAAATAAGTGAAACACTTAGGAGGCAAGGGAATTCGTGGAAGCTTGATAAGGGTATTAGCAGAATTACATAGCGGAATGTCAGAACCAAACAATGTTGGTTCGGTTTATGCCTTCATTTGGTAATAGAAAGACTTTTATAATAATCAATATCATATATCCTATGGTCATATATTTCTCATAATTTCATATCCAGAAATTTTGCAACTTGGTAAGTAAGTAAGTAAGTAAGTGAGATATATCTTTTCTAATAATTTATCCTCCCGATGCAGATAAGGATATACAAAGCTAGTTTCGCATACGCCGGTTTACGCCGTTTCTGGCGTAGACGTGATATCCGCTGCCTATAGACCAAAGTTGGTGTTTACTGCTCAGCAATCCGTCCTCCTTTATTACCGGCTGTCAGTGAGATATGGCCATTGAAAGTAGAAGACATGGAAAGGCTAGCTAGCTGTCTTTTATCATAGATGTCTGAGTTCTATCCCCGGTGTTAAGTGGTACAATAGGGTGATCAATATTGAGGTTAGGCGTAGGGTGCTAGGTAGGAGGGAAAATCAATAAACGAGGCTGTGAAGTTACATTGATTGAGACTGTTTGGACATGTGTTACTCATGCCTACACATTGTCCTCCTTGATGGGCAATGTTATCAGACATAGGGTCAAGCTGGAAAAGAGACAGTTAGTGGTGGACAAATCAAAGCATGGCTTCATCAGTCGATGAAATCTACAACAGTTAGTTTAAGCCACGTAGGAAGGTGTAGACTTCCTGACTGGTTGGGGTCCTCAAGAGGGTAAGCATCAATGAAGGCTGGAGACAAATATTGATTATATGGCTCGAAATCGTACTCAATGGCTGGCTCAGATGCGTTCACTCCTTGTGACTTATAATATCCAATAAAACTTTATTGTTCTTCCATATTACTATTCTTTTGCCTCACCCACACTTCTAATTATTATCCATCTCTATTTTGAATCTCCTTTCACTCTCTTCTCTTGCTTTGTGTGCTACTTCCAGTGTTGCAACTTGAACTGCTGCAAATCACTGAAAAATTCTACGTTGAAACCAGTCATTCAATCAGTCTTCCTCTCGACTGAGTGATTTTCAAATTATAAAGTTCCAGATCCGTTATAACCTGTGCGTCAGTGAATCAGCGGTAGAATACGCACGAACAATGCAAGTGGTTCGAAGTTCAGTTTCCAACTGACGCGTACTTCCAAGCTTCGCGAAGCTAGAAGTAAGTCCGATAAAATGGAAAAGGTTCAGCATGAAGCAAGCAATCCCATCCCATAAAAAAATAATGATACCACTCTTGCTGACACTTTAATGTATAAAGATTGAAGCCCTCAAGATGTCAAAGGGATACAAGGGTGAAAACCCGCCACAATTTCCGATGGAATCCCAAAATATTCAGATCATAGTATCTAATGATCGTCATACGATAAATGGAAAAATTGACGAAACGAGCATAATTATATGCTGGAAACCACTCACGCCAGACAGCAGTACTGGCTAGCCAAACTAAAGTGTGATCTAAACACCTGACTACCATTTAATTCATTTTGGAATGGGCTCATTAATGGATTACGTATGCGTACGCACACGTACTCTAATTACATCAAGAAAAATGACGTCAGCAGCCGAACATGTCAGTAGATTATGTCTAAGAGAAGAACTACATCGAATTACTGTGAAACTAAATAATATGCAGAGTGAAATTGAAAAACTCAAACACAAACTCAAATGTATGGTCAATGACAAAGATTATGTAATTGTTGTTGAAACATCCGAAAAAGCTAGAGAATCAGAATTAAGAAAATCGAAAACCACAAAAATCTAAAAATTCAACAAAACTAATGGAAGGAAAGAATACAACAAATGAAATTGATGTCAACACTTCATCCTCTATTGATAGAACAAAATGGGTGATCAACCTCTTATCAAGGGAACTAAGCTCTAGTGAGATAAAAGTACTTGACAAAGGACTAAATTTCAATGTAACAGATAGTAAATTTAAACCAGAGGATGTCATTCCTAGCATAGAAGTAGCACTAAGTTCAATAGATAAGACTACAGTAGAAGAGGTTCGAGCATAATCTGCATCAACCCTGAGAAATCAAAAGAAGGCAAAATCAAACTTAACAGCATCGGAAAGAGAAGCTTTAATTAGTTTAAAACAGGATAAAAACACCTTCATCACAAAAGCTGATAAAGGAAACTCCAGAGTAGTTTTGGATAAATCTGACTATACCAAGAAAGTCACTGAACATATTCAGACGGGTCTATATGAAAAAAACTAAGAAGCCTGTAGATACCATAATGAATAAGGTTTAAAAAATCTAAAGCGTATTTAATATGCAGAATAAAGCCATCTCTGAGTGAGTCTAGATGGTTTCATTTAATGCCCAAAACTAATAATGCTAGTAGAATATATGGTTCTATTAAAATACATAAGCCAAGTTAGCCTATACGACCAATAGTAGATTTCAGAAATACCCCTACTTATGAATTATCAAAATACTTAGCTCTAATATTATGGCTCATTAGAAATCGTTCAAACTCTAGACTAACTAATTCAATAAAGGACAACATCTGGTCCTACTGTTCTCAGAGATGACAGTCAGTTAAAGCTATTTGACTACTCGCTAGCTACTTTGGTAAACTGGTATTACGTGATTTCAAGTGATCCTTTTTTTAATTATCCCTCGCGCTTGAACTGGTTCAGGCTTTAAAGTCTCAGGAGTAAACGTATCGTGTGTACAAGGTGGAACTGCTACATTCACGGTCAACCTTTTCTCTTCTCGATCTTTCTACTAACCGGTAAAACGTCACGAGGTTTAAGAGCGCGCGGTTGATTAAGTGAATTGGTGGATTGTAAAGTTTACAGTTTGAACGAGAGTGATCTGATTTTATTCTGCTTTCGAAGGTCTCTTGGCCCGGATATATTGCTGATTACCTTGGCCATCGTGGGATTTGTAACAGCCATCCAGTCTTTAGATTACTTCGATTTGACTGGCAAATAGCACTGTTTGACGTGAGTGGTTTCCAGATATATGCGTCACTTAGTGTTATATCTAATGTAAAATATTTCATCAGAGGATATTTCCTATAGTTGGTTTGTAAGGATTAGATCTTTTTTTTACGAATTGATCACGGATTGGTATCATTTAGAGAAACATTGAAAACCAGCACTGGAGTAATGGACAGCTGTTTCATCCTAGTTTTTTGTGAATCATCGGCAATACGCACCCACCGCCAGCTTTCGAACCCAGGACCTTCCGGTTACAAGGCAAGCTAGCTGGTATCCCAATCAGCCAATGGGACCCGATTCAATGGCCAGCCCACGAGTTCTAACGTTTTCCAATTCGTGATTTACCGCGATGTATATTTCATTACAACAATTCCTTTTAACTTACTTGGAGCTTGTAGTATATGACCTCTTTGTTTCCGCGTCTTTTGTTCACATTCATAAGAACCTTCATGTATTGACTGTAATTCGTTAATGACAACAATACTTGTTCTTAATTTATCAACACGATTTGTTCCAATTGGTAGAGTGCCACCATTAAATCTCCAAGTAACCTATAAAAAATAAAATAATGAATTTTTGTTATGAATATATCAAATTGACATATCTAACAGCCTGCCGAAAATCGTAAGCAATTTCGTTTGAGTTGATGATTCAGGGTAAGATAGCTGGTTAACCATAAATTTAGTCTGAAGTTCAACTGCCTTTCGACTCACTCCTAAACCTCACTTATACAGCAATATGCGCATCTTGGATTCCACTGCCAGTCACCATCCACAAATCAACTTCTAATTACATGCTAAGACATTGTCGAAGCATCTGCACAAAAAGCCGACAAACGTGTCAACCTGAGACCAAGCTCTTCAGTCCAATCAATCGACGGGAAAATCTAAAATTCAATTTAATAGTTAATATGACTCGTTGCACAAGAGGTGGGATATCGTCACCCAAGTGGTCTCGTGGATACATTACAGTTTGGTGTTTTAAACTACGAGTACTGAGTTTGAGCCCTGGTGGTGGGAATATCATCACTCACTGGTAAAAGCAGGTGCATCCAAATGACGAGTCCCAAATAGGACGAAATGTGAATACTGGATTCCATGGTTAATCACCATCCACCAATTATATACGGCAATAAGCCACACTACTGAAGGTTCAAACATCTAGCTTCAATGCCTGTGTTCCACGCGGAACACAGGCAAATAAAAATATACATGCTCATTAATTTTAGGGGAATATTCACAAAAAGAAAACAATTTCTTACATCTGATCCAGTTTCACCAAAATCTTTTTCAAGTTCACAGTGTATCTCCAATGTTTCACCAACTCTGTAGCTATATATTTCAGTTGTACTCTCAGATAATTCTGTAAGTGTTGTCAATAGAAAACAAGAAGAAAGATGAGAGAAATGTTTGATGAACATCACATTTAAACATTTACTACGATTATAATTTCACATTACTGGAAATGAAACACAATATGATATAGAAAGCCGACTCATCATGTATAAATATTTATAAGATGGTTGAAGGCAATCGGCCACAGGAAGTCCTAACTAACCTACGTTTCGTCCTTATTAGCATTCATCAGAGGAAATCATGTCCCTTCTTCTGAGATTCCAACCCATGTCAACAAGTGCTGCAGTCAGAGACATTACCTTGTGAGCTAACCGGGTTTGATTCACAGAAGAAGGGAAATGACTTCCTTCCCGGTTACAGATACGCCTTTCTGACTGGTGAGTGAGTGCCAACCAGCACGGAACCTAGGTCCAGCTGGACTACTCACCAATTATCTCCAACTGTCTAATAAAAATAATTCATGAAGAAAATGAAAGACAAATTCAGTGAAGAAAATTCTCTTTTCTTTATCGACGAAATCAACTTTACAGGCTGTTGTACAGTCGTATTTACATTTACCAAAAATGTAATAGGGGAGGCGGGTGACATAATTGATATAATTACTCAGAAGTGGCTTTAGAAGTAAAAATTAAAAGTTGCAAATTACATAGTACTCAACGGTACAAAGGAAGAAGGGAGGGTTAAAAATTTGATAAGGGTAAAATTGTTATTGAGTAGTGAGAAGAAAAGTGGTAGTTGAGTGTCTATTTACCAAGTGTGAATAGGGGTGTGAAAACGTACTACAGGAACATGTTAGGGTAGTAACAGTGAATTAATTATTCAGTAAAAGCAAGCTAGTAAAATTTAGAATAAACAAAAACATTTCAGGGAACGACTAGTGTAGAGATTGAGACCATTTTAGAATAAGGGACTGGACAAACTTCCTCTGTATACAGAGAGAGTTCGGGGTTGTATTGAAAAATAGCCAGCGCTTCCGCCATACACAAATGCCAAAACCTGATGCCCTATGTACCATTTGGCGTCACCTTGTAGATGGTGTGGAAAGACTACTCTGGTGGAGCTATGTGGCCTGAGTTCACCAAGTGCTCGAGAAATGAACTAGTAATTGTCTTGCATTGTCTTTTTGCTAACCATGCCAGATAATGTTCAGAGATGAGCTTGGAAAGTGTGCGCCAAGTTGTGCGGCCAATATAACTAGCTTCACACGAATAGTGAACCGTGATGGCGAACTACCTAAAATGGTGGCCAAACTGCGAACTTGATTACACAATAGAATTCAGTCTCTACCAAACAAAGGACCAGATACATGACACCAGTTGATGTCCAATGAAAATTATAGAAATTTATCCTGGTAAAAAACATCTTGCTTGGAAAAACCGCCTAAAAATCGATACATATCTCTAAAATGCGATTCTCCTAATAAATTTCGACAGACCATCATTTTATACTTCCTTACGTTCCCAGTGGAAAATAGGGATTCAACCCAGAGGCCTCAAGTTCCGGTAGCAGGGGTGTTTATTTTTACAGGATGGGGTTACTAGCCTCAAGCCCAACTTTCCCTCTTTACCAGTCAGTCTTATTACTGGATTCGAAACCCAGGCCATATGCGACATAAAACGATGTTATCATTTATATTACAGGTCCTCATTAGTCACGTAAGTCTGCGATGAATATAAAAACATGAATGATAAAAATGTCAGATTATTAATTTCATTTTCAGACGTTAACCTAATTTGCATGAACTGGTTTGATCTCATGATTCTTGTAGCATAGAAGGCCTTCAATTTGAAACTAAGTCTAGTATTCAGTATCTTGGATAAATGTTATTCCTGTAATCTTTTGTTGGTCTTTACACACCATGTGAATTTCTGAAGAAATATTTTGTCAAAACATCTTTATAAGGAAGTTAAGGCAGCCTAATATCAGTCTGTACTTCTAAAGTTTGTCCATATAAAAGAAAAGACATTCAACGCGAAGAGTTACTCCTCTGTTCAAGGATATCCTTCTCAAGCTGTACAATTGCATATACACGTATAGAGTAAATTGTCTTAGCCAAAAAAAAATGAATATTTGCAAAGATTTGTCATCAGAATTGTAAATTTTAAGTAACACATTTCGTTACTTGGTTCTAAACCAAAATAACATTGAATAAGCAAGTAAAACGACGTAATCCAATTGACGGGGTTTACTGGAGCTCAGCTAAAATTAAAATTGAACAAAAGTCAAGTTAACAATAGAGGTAATAAGGGGTGTGTTGGGGGGAAGAAAATATTTTAAAATTAAAAAACCAACAAGTAAGAAAAACACGAAACAAAAATGAGGTATTCGGTATTAAGATAGGTAGGGTCGACTACAGATTTAATGACAGAACAACCTTCTTTTGTATGCAGAGAGTTCAGGGTTTATTATCCGTGAATTGCAGTTGCTTCTGTGGTTTGAAGAAGTTTGATTCGTACTTGTTTAGCAAGATTCCCATGAATTCTGTGTATAACTTTGAAATTGGTTTGTGGGCCAGCTTGATGCCTAGGTTCGATCAGATGTTTTTCAGAATAAAGTTAAGGGTGGAGGATCGTTTTCCTTCTTCATAAAGCCATGAGGGTAAGTGTTCAATGATACGTCTGAACATAAAACTTTAGGTATAGCCGGCCTACCTGTAGAGCTCTACAAAAGCAGGTGAATTGGTAGATGCACGCTGATAAGGTCAACAGTAGTAGCTTATGTTTCATCTTGAAGCGAATCATCAGTTTCGTGGAAATAGTTAGTCAAAGTTCAGTCATGAAGAAGAATTCCCTCAGTGAACAGTCAAGAGGTTTCTCACTATTTCTGACGATGACTTTCCATTGAATTGTGGATTCCAGTGGGAAAGTCTTATTGCCACAGTGAAATGTGAGCGGTTTCGGTGGCTTAGGTCTGATAGATTTTGTGGTGGAACATTCTGGGTAGCCTGTTTCTAAAAGGATTCTTTTCACAGTATTTACCTCCTCCTCCTCCATGTATCTGATCTTTAAATGCTGCAGATTCTATGGCTCATTAATTTGATCAGTTGACTTTCTGTAAATGGATATTTTTAGTGTTCAGTCTTGTTCACGAATTGTTAACTGAACATCGCAAATATATTTGGATTATTTTTTATGCATGTGTACATTAAGTTTGTCGAACAAAAATACAATTGGTTGTGGTTATTTTAACTAAACTGAGGAAGACTGGTAATCGGAGTCCCGTGATAAAAATCAGTCAAGAAAATTAAGTGTTAATGAGATCGGGTAGTAAGAATGGTGCCGAATTTTCAAAAACGGTTGTTAGAAAGGAGTCACGTAATAATATGAACAGTTTGATCATTAAGTTTTACTCAGGATACATATAGGAACAAAGTAGAGAATACGAAATTAAGTTAGAGTTCTAAATGAGTACAAGAATTATAACCAATTAAAGAGACAGGCGAACAAAGAAAATTAAGTCATCAAAAGTTGACAAAGGTGTTACCATGACAGTAGAAGTGGTTCAGTAATTCTCTTTTGTAAGCACAACTCCGGCATTTCAATGTGAATGGCGAGAGCTTCGGTGATAAAAGGAAGACAAAACCATATTGACTTTGGTGGGATATTCTTGACTCTGCAGATTATTTTGAAACAGGAGGTGTTTGTTGAGATAGAATGATCAGTGTGTGTTAACCAGGTGTTCAGTGATCTCATTCCTTATTGCACCACTATTGCCTTTTCGCAACCATTCTCTTGGAGAGGATACGCGTCGAACGACCGATGTACTTGGCTCCAAAACAGTAGGTAAACTGATATATGCACATAGAAGTAGTCAGACGCAGGATCTTTTTTTTAAATTTCAAAATTGATTTCGTTAAGGCTTCTGCAGATCAGTGGGCGACTGGAGAACATTATTCACAGCTCTCATCTTGGGTCAGGGCGATGGCAGGAATCGGACACACCGATTCTGAATTATCAATCGGGAACTTTTTCCTCCTTCACTTATGAGTTTCAACTGCCTATCACATTATCATTGCATTATCCAGCTGAAGTTTATATGGCTATTAGTCAATCAAGACACTAGATGTTCAGACAGACCTTCCGTCATTCATGATTCAAGTTAATTAATGGAGCCTCGAGGTGGGATTGTAATTTATCTCTAGTTGGAAAACTCTTATTACTATAATGACCGATGAATTTACTGATATGAAGACCCAGCCAGTAGTCGAGTTGTATAGTTAATCTGGTGAGATAATAACTGAGCGACGTATCATTCGAAAGTTAACTCAACCGACAGTCTGATTTCACTCAAGTCTACCTCAAATAATCTAGTTCTCATTTAACACAAGACTGCAACTGTGATAGGATAAGGTTTAGTTATCCAACTAGTTTGACAATAATTTATCGGTCACTAATCATAGTTATTTGTAGTTGTACTGTCGTAGATCAGCTCTTGGACAACGGGACCCCCCCTCAACAATCATCCCCATAAAATGGTGTGTAATCTATCAATCATTCTAACCCTACCTCCTAGACAATCTTAAACATCAAATCCTCCAAATTTAAAAAACTTGGCAATTCATCATTATTTAACAAAACCTAATTTTAAGACTTTTGTATGCATCCTGAATACGAATATATAAGAGTGACCTCGTGTTGTTTATTTACCTTTAAAATACTAAAATTGAAAGTCATATAACTTTATATAAGTATGTTGTTAATAGTAATAGTAATAATAATAATAATCATAATAAATTCTATTTTAATGAAAGATTTGGAATAATTGACTTTATGAACACCATTCATTTGGTGCAATATACCATACGTATAAGCCCTTTACCCCTCTTCTCCTCATTTAGATGTTACAATCTCTGTTTGTAAACAAATTAGAATTCTCACAGTGTATGTGAAATATGCGTGTTGTACAGTTTACTGATTTGTTGTAATAACTGCTACATGTACACATATATATATATATATATATATATATATTATACATCTACAAATGTTTATATTCTGTGACTTGACAATTGTGAAATAAACAAAGTGTTGTAAGCATTTTGTTTACACAATAGAAACTTGGATTTAAATATGCCTCTGCCTAATTATATGTACATTTTTTTTGAAATACTAAATGAGGCGAGTATGATAATATCCTAGTTCCTATCGTTTCTTCGGAGTTGTTGAGGGGCGAGGTGTGTTGTACTTCATATTATCTGTGCCTAATCTATGCCAACTGTAAGCGGCAGGGATGAAGAAGTCATACGTAGGCATTCATTGATGTGAAATCGATATGGAGATCTAAAGTCTTTTGGTGTGTGCATCGGTGGTTCAGTGGTACAGCACTCACCAACCACTCATCATGTGGTTTGGGGTTCAAATTTCGGCCACCGACGCACTCCTCATTTACCTCATTAAGACAGTAATAAGACTGGTAAAGAGGGTAGGTTGTGTGGTATGAGGCTAGCAACGCCATCCCGTAAAAAAAACGACACTGTTATCGAAACTTTACACCTCTAGCTTGAAGGCGCCCTATGTTCTACTGGGAACGTAAAGGAAAATAAAACAGAGTATTTGGTTCACTCGAGGACTAGTAGGTGAATTTTTAACAGTCCGTGTTTTTTCATGTACTCCACTGACTGTGCAAATGGGTCACCAAAAAAAACATTGCCAACAAGTTGTTAGGGACTTTTAAGAACATCTTCCCACCTTCTCTCAACAGGGAAGACCACATGGAACTCTGGCTAAAGACCAGCTGATAATCTATTTGCTGATAAATATGAAAGAAGAGACGAAGATGTGTTTAGAAATACAAGTGGTTTTACCCATCAAGCTTGTCACCAAATAGAATCCGAACGGGATGAAAGTTCGTGGGCAGTGTTGAAACCAGTTATAACTGATAGCAAGGAAACGAATGGAATCGAAATATGCTGGTGAAGCCGTATGTTCCACTCGAACTCCAGGAGTGAATACCAATAGTAATTGTAATAACGATAGACATAATATCATAAAAAAATCTATCTCACATTCCCTTTAGGATTTGCCTTTAAATTTTTGAAGTATTCAATCTGTAGTCACCCTCTGAGTAATCAACTATAATGCCTTAACTCATAATATAATAAGTGCTTTAGTAAAATACACAGCCCAGGAAAGATTAATGAGGACCAGAAGTAAAGGTTGGTTGATACCTGATTGTCTTAACATTTTTTAATATTGAAAGTAAGACGAAACATTTTTCTTAGAGACTGATAAGATGTGGCATGGCGATGAAAGGTCAGAGGAAAGAACCAAGAATCCAAGGTATTTAATGCTTGACTTAATTTCAATTTCAGTGCCATCTATGCTACAGGCATCATGCGAACTAACTAGTTGATTTCCTATAAACTCAAGTTTATAGGAAATCAACTCACACAGACCAAATCCTGAATTACAACAGCAACAACCCAATAACACACAAAAGGAATTGCATACAAACACTATTCAAGTGAGCAAAGACTCATTGCAGCACTCCCACCTTAAGGAAAATTGAAGAAAAGTATCTCATGGACGTCTTCCAAAAGAATGGATATCCACGGAATTTCATCAAGAGACATATACCCTCAAGCCAACCTACCAAAGCAAAAGCCACCAAAGAAAGCACAAAGAAAATCGCCTAAACATACATAAAGGATATCTCAGAAATCACTACAAGACTCTCCAAACCTTTCGGAATTGACATCGTACACAAACCAACAAAGTCGCTTCCCTCAGTTATATGTCAACCAAAAGACTCAACAGCGAGAGAAGATAAAACCAACATCATCTACAAAATAAATTTTAACAACTGCGAAAAACACTACATTGGCCAAAGTGGACGTCTCCTTCGTCTTCGTATCCACGAACATAAGCTATCTGTCAAGAGACATGATATCCACTCCTTCATATCACTACATATAGAAAAACACGGACATCAATTCGACTGGGACAACCAACATTCAAATATTAGACAGAGGAAACAACAGGAATACTAGAGAATTTTTCGAAGGCTACCTGGTATTCCAGTGAATCATCAATCAATAGACACATCGAGATAGACAAAATTTATCAACCGATAAGAAGTGGACCTCATACACAAAGGGTCAAAGTTCAAGTCAAGGAAACAATCAGTTCCAATACAAGTAGCATAGAAGGTGTGAAAACACACCAAAGCAACCAATCACGTCCACGGTCACCACCAGGAGAGATGATTAATAAACTCGTGAAGAAATCTAAAAGTTCACTTCAACGAACTGAAGTATGCGATGAAGATGTTGCCTAGTAGTGAGGAATGAAAGCTTCGCAAATTAACCGTCCAGTTCAGAGAACAAAACCACATCAAAATCATTCACCTGAGCTACGAATCTTCTCTATCATATCTGAACTGACTAGTTCATGTATGTCACGTCAAAGCTTGAATTTTGGATTTGACATCTATATCCATGCAATAACCCTGTAATTGAAACTGTGCTTCGTAAATACTTGAAGAAAGTGAACTCTCCCAAATTTATTCTGTTGATTTCTTCATATGCTAAAACAATGAAGCTGGAGTGAATTAAAAATCAATATCAAAGCAGTTTTTTGTCTTAAACTTTTCAGAATTCACGTTACTCAGTTTCAAGTAATAGGGAAATCGGTTTCAATTAATTGGGCATAAAGAACTTGATTTTTTTACGCACGGCAACTGTCCACTTATGTAACTCTCCACAGGACCTTCCATTTACCTACACTGATGAAGATACGTGATCAGAAGACTAGTATACCGATTAAAATCTCGTCTGAAAGGAACACTTACATAAATTATGAACTTGATAATAAACCTAAACAGCACTTACCCATTTTCCCCGTAGTTCCAAGTGGTTTAGGCTCCATATCTAATTTAACTGTACCGACTACTTGTTCCGTCTCTGGTGAGATAACTTCACATGTGATTGATGTGTCAGTTTTTACACCTTCAACAGGTACATGATCAGAAATTATTTGATGGACTATTGTATCACCATCACCAATTTTTCCATCAGTTTCTGTTGACCACTGATAATTATAAGATACACCTTCAGTTCCAACTGTTGGCATATGACATTGTAAAGTAACTGTCACATCGTCTGGATCAATTCTTCTTGAAATTGTAATATACGGAATCACTGTATAGAAATGGATGAAACGAAACAATCAATTATGCAACAGTAAATCCATAATGGATAACACTGATAAATGCGCACAATTACACTATACGACGTAGTTTTTAGAAGCCTTTCAAAGATCTGTTAACTTGAAGTCCTAATGAAACCTAGGCCCCTTATTTTCTCCTATTCGCAACTTATTGGCTGGTTTTGCCTGCTGCTTAGTTAATGTTCATATTCCCGGTGAAACGCAAAAGCATAACAGATGGCTTCAGACATTGAAGTTTTATCTCTCAAGCTACTCATCTGTGGGAGTGAACTGTTGTGACACTGTTGTGAGGTGTGACTGAATTCTCAGAGTAGTTGAAGCAATAGATTCTGGATTCGTATCTCAATGGGAACCCGACTACTCACTTAGGAAAAATTAAATCCAGCTGACGCATGTCAGGCAGGGTGAATGAAGTATGTGTCGTCGTTTCTACTGTTAGCTGCGGTCAAACAAGGAACGCTGAGTTATTTTTCATCAAAAGAATCAAACCCATTCACATATATTCACATATATAAATGTGGAAGCACAAATATGAATATGATTCCTTAACTCTTCCATTCTGCCTATTGTTCTCTGTTTGTTTCCTCTTAGTTTTTCCAGGGCCACTGAAGAAAGACCATACCTTATTACTTAAGATGTTAAAGGTTGCCAGCAGGGTAAGCAATGTGCCACTTAACCAGCTTGTTAATATTCTGGTGGACAGGCATATGGACTCATGTGAAAAATGGGCTAAATCCATTCTATCTAACTCACACCATCACCCTCTTCATTCACAACTCTCCCCTTGTACTTATCTCATCAGGCAAAACCAGAAGCTTATATAGAAAACTATATGCTGGCACTTGTAAGTACAAAAACTCAACCATAGCCTGCTTGGCTGGTGTTCTGTGCGATAAAGAAAGCATTAGGCGTGAAACGTATAACTTATTAAATAGTCAGTAGAACAACTGGATCTTGTCTTTCTAACTCATATCATTTATAGGTACAACCTTTTCTCTCTCTTTTTTGTTATGTGCTGTTTTGTTTCTCTCTTCCTTACAATCTCTACTTGAAACATTCTTTTTCGTTCTTTCACACTCTGTATATCTCGACCTTTCTGTTACCGCTTACGCCAGTAATTATGCCACTATCTACTTTTCTAACACCTTCAAACATTCTGTTTACTTTTGTCTTTGCTACTGATATGCTAATATGTTGTTGTCAAAACTAAATGAGACTACCTATAATCTATGTAGAATTTTATTTTTATTGATAATGTACTAACTGGATGCAATACTGTAGTAAAATGCTGAGAATTCCATTCTGTATCACAAGTACTGTTTTGGAATAAAGCGAATTATTATTATTATTAAATACTGTCATCTCCATCCAGGGATTCCTATTTACTGATGAATTATTTGACAAGAACTAATGCATTGAACCAAAAAGGAATAACACTAATGAAAGGAGAGTTTTAAAAGCGCTAATAAACAAAGTTTAAAATGAGAGGAAAGTAGTTTCCAAAAGCTGTGTATGCCTATATAATGAACACGCGATCTCAAAAAATGGTTAGAAATGAAAGGCTGCCACCTTCCCATCTCCAGTTTTCATTGAATTCCATGAATTTTCAAATGTGCCTTCGTGAAAGTTAATCTGACCCTAAAATTAAAAATCGTTAAGTACAAAATTCCACCCTGAATGACTTTGAAATCATGATGTAATCGTTACTGTTTCATTTCAATCAAATTGGGTGACATCAGCAGGTATATGTTAGTTCACTTGGTCTTATAGATCTCAGTAAATTGGGTGTACCATGTATCCGTTTGGAAAAACACCCTTGTAAATACTACCTATCTCGGTTAGCAAACAGGAGAATAAGGACGGGAATATGTCTTTAAAACAATGACCGAATATCTCGTGAACTCAAGACATTTAGCAAATTGCATTTATGTATGATTACTTTGTGTGTATGAGTGTGTGCGTGCATTCTCAGGCCACCCATTTCCCTTCAACAACTCCAAAGATAATATATAGCATCTGACGTCTTCTGTGTGTATCTACTAATTTACTTGCTCATTAAGAGTGAGGGAGATAAATACGTCGTCCGATGCGTGTTTTATCTAAAAGAGTCGGACAACGTTATCCCGCTTGGCTACGAAAAGTTAACAATGGATCAATAAGGAGTGATATAATTGAACATTTATTCAACACTCGTCAATCTATAAGTAATCAGAATTCATTCAAAGTCATCTACAAAGTCACAAGAAGCCTCCCAAAAATGGTAAGGTTACGTATGCTTTGCACTGCCTTGGTCCTAGTGATCGGGATAGAAAACCCTGATTAATTCACATAGAAGAAGCTTCTTCACTCCCTCCTTCTACCTTGGGTATAATTTCAAGTTCTACAACTTTTTTAAAAATGTTTTGTTTTCTTTTTTTCTTTTATTTTAATTTCTGCACAGCATCTTAGTAACATGTTCTTCTTAACAAACCCTTTATTAACTCCTTCTACCTAATACATAATTTATTTAGGACACTTATCTCGATGTCCTTTCATTAACATCCTATTTCATATTACGCAACCCCTGTCAATATTCACCACTCTTCACCCCGTCTAGTTACAATTTTGATTGTTCATCACATTCTAGAAACATTTTTATGACGTAAACAGCAACCCTAACTAATTTTTATTTTATTTTTGTATGACAGTCCCAATGTACGCACGTATACACATAAAATAATTATATTAAAATTCGACTGTACAGCTAAGTGAGTGAATTCACCGTCGAAAAGAGACTCTTCGCTGAACTTTTCTGTTCTTATACTCGTCATGTCTGGATGGGTGTTTTTCGTGAATTTAATAAATACTTTAATTTCATCTCAAAGATGTCATTACAGCTTCAGCAATGGAAAGTGAGATGAAGACATCCTCATACACCTGAAGCAATGGAGGTCAAGAAATTCAAATCAACGGTGTACATCCGAGAGAAGCACCTTTAAGCTTTGTCTTCTTGCCAATGGCCATCACAACGAGTGAAATTTACTCATAATGCTTCTTATCAGAACTTTTCGTTTATTTTGTAACCGTAATCTCTATTTGCATTACTTAACTTCATCTTTTATTGATTACGTTTTCATCTGTGACCACAGATAGCTTTGTAGACTTCTCTCCTTGTTGTAATATATAATCACAAATTTACAGACTAGCTGATGACTTCATTGCAAAGTAAACGTTTTACTCATTGACTTCTTAAACGCCGCACTCGCAGAAAATGGTTACCCTAACCGATTTATTGACAAAACATGAAAGATAAGCAGTCGAAACAGGTCACCGACTCAGTTCCAAAAAACCTTATTTTTATTTTTTTTTAATTTTTGATTACAGCTTGATTTAACACCGTATTTTTGATACAAGTATGGAATTTTCAGCGTGGATAACGGTAGCCCGAATTTCGCAGGCCGACCATTGATATCAGGTGTGCGGCGGCAGGGGATCGAACCTCAGACCATGTGCATGGTCAGCGAGAGTCCTAGCCACTGTGCCACCGACTCACAAAGCGTGTGCCGGAGGTGGGATTGAAAAGTAAATACTGCTTCACTCAATCTTTCTGTTTTCTAAATTGCTTTATTTGATTGGTGGTGGTATTTTCCATATCTCTGGTATTTCTCTTGAGTCATTTTAGTTGAATGTTTTTGATTGCACACTAGTCAGTAACTAGTGTAATGTGTGTGGTGCTATCTTCGGTGAAGACTGAATTCTATCAGTAAAGGTTACAATGTGGCCACCATTTTAGGTGGCTCGCCACTACAGTGCACTGTGAGATCTTGGTATTAGATGGTTGGAGGCAATCAGCAGGAAGTCTTAGAACTAGATTTCGTGCTAGTCGGCACTCATCAGCAAGGCATATCTGCAACCTTGAAGTAACTCGTGTCCCTTCTCAGATTTGAACCCGCGTTACCCAGTGAGAGCTGCAGACAGAGACGTTACCACTGAGCTATTCAGGCTCACTTGGCCAGTGAGTAACGTCTCTGACGGCAGCACTGGGTGACGCGGGTTCGAATCTGAGAAGGGACATGAGTTCCTTCAAGGTTGCATATACGCCTTGCTGATGAGTGCCAACTAGCACACAATCTAGGTCCAAGGCTTCCTGCCGATTGCCTCCAACCGTCTAATATCAGTTGAATATGTTGGATGTATATTCTTTAAGCGAAGATGCTGTAATTGACTTCCCTCTTCATGTACCTATGTTGCTTCTTAGAATTTTAAACTTCTCCCACCCACCCTATTGTGTGGTTGTGTGTTAATGCATGCAGTGCTATTGCTGAGTTCTTTTTTCTAAATTTCTCATCTTCGTGGGATCAATCACTCTTAGCTTAGCTAAACTCTTACGTTCTGACAATATGTCCACCTCGATCTACTAGTTTGACTTATGTAGTTGACGTAACTCACAGTCACTGCAAGGTATTTTGTAAATTATATTATTCCGTTTAATTGGGTCAACGAAGTCCTTTAACTTAAAGAGTTATCTGACTAACTTGATATGACTGAGAGCAGTAATAAACTGTGCTCGAAACGTGGTCATCAGTATGCATTACTCTATAACAATGTGAGACTTTATCAAAAGTGAATTTTATCCACAATAGAGTTATACTCTACCACAGTGGACAAGTTCTATTCTTATATTAGTGGTTGTTTAAACATCTTCATCTTCAGGATAAGCCCAAAACATTTTTTATACATAGGTTTAGAAGAGATGTTAAACATCGAAAGTTTCCTCTGTATTCATCACATGTTTCTCAATGTAAGTAGCAGGTTCTCTGTTTTCACCATTATTAGGTTCAGGGGATTCAACTTACTTCTTCAGTCATTTAGGGATACGCTCTGAAGCCCTTGCTTATGGAGATCGACGAGTCCTTCCTATGTATATGTGACCAGTAGTACATTTAAAATGTTAGCTACTGTGGGATGTAAAATCGTTTTTCATATGTTCTAACAGCTTAGATAAACATGTAAGCTCCATATTCTCAATACTTCTGATCGTAGCTTCATGAAAAGCTTTCAGTCTTTGCCTAATCACCAAGCTGCTATGATAACCCATATACGGTAGCTTAATATACGCATCCTTCTTAGTGGTGAGTTAGATAATGGGTCTTGGTGCTATAACAGCTTTAATACCTCATTAAAATATCCGAATTATTATTTCCAAACACATCTTTCATCAGTTATCCTTCCTCACCTTGAAGTGTGTGTGTCCTTTCTCCTACAGATGTTACTGAATCTGGCGATCAAAAATATCCATCCCCTCTCTGAACTACGAATCTCTATTATTTTCATATAAATCTTTTACACAGGAATAGCAAAAGTATGAACCATTTTTATGGGTGTAAAACTCTTAAGATGTTATGAAAATTTTATCTCATATTATTCAAAAGTCAAAAATAAAAGAAACTTTGATAAGAACAACACATACCATCAGTTTGTCTGCGTACACGTTTCAGGAAGACTTGATTGTCCAGTGTCTCATTTGTGTTATCAATCCAACCATATTGACAAATAGGTGTAGAACCTTTGAGAAGATGGCTTTCTGACGACAAGAATAGTTTTTCAGTGAATGCATTCACTATCACATGGCCTATAGGATGTTCCCATGTTACTAAGGTATAGTCGTTAGGTAGACTTGAGCAGAGATAATAATAATTATGATCATCATTTTCTCCTTTGATTAAATTTCCAACATTGATGTCTGTTTAGCAAAAGAAATATTGAGATAAGACTGGTGATTTACAAAATAGGCGACAACATTGATTCTTAATATTTTGCTAAAATGACAGATACTACTTAAATGAATATTACTGATATACCTTATTCGACAGCTTTATGCTGATGTCATATCCTAAGTAATTCACAGTATAGAGCTCACCAAATCCTTTCAGGAGAAGACGAGAGTAAAGCAAAATATTATCACCATTATTATTCCTGGTTGATTTGGGCCGGATTATGTTACAAGTCGCTGAGAGTGACAAGACGGTCACATGATGGACTGGCTAAATGACTCCACAACTTGTGAATTTCATATGTCACACAATGTCAATGATTTATAAGCTAGAACCAAAAAGTTGGTAGAAGATGTAGTGAATGCACGACTTTAAGCGAGCATAGAAAAGACAAAGATGAGGAAGATATCCAGTTTATCAACCAAAATCACCAATCACCATTAGTCTGAGAAGTCCCAAACAAGCTGTCTACATCACTTACCTTGGGAACATCGTTTCAACTACAAGTGGGATAACTAAGGGTTATCAAAGACAGGATCAAAAAAGCAAGACAGTGCTTTGATTATTCTGAAATCGGTGTTAAGTTCTACAGGATACAACATGTCGAAGCGTTCCTTCGTCGCTAGCCTCCTACCACACAACCTTTCCTCTCTATAAGTCTATTTACTGGCATAGTGAGGCAAAGGAGGAGTGTATCAGTAACCGTGGATCGAACCCCGAATCACGCGTGACGTGGTTGGTGAGCATTCTACCGCTGTGCCACAGACACCCTGTAAATGTCTAGCTAGTGTATTGTATAGTTGTTCATAATGCAGTACTAGAAGTGCTATCGAAGATTGACTGAAAGTAACCTGTATATCGTTAGGTCATTCATATTCATGAGGTGTTTTACAGAGAAGATATTGTCCGCAAGGTCAGTGAAAGCTAGGCGAACAAACCAATGAGCTCACAGAATATATCGCTACCAAAATACTTCCCAGTCTGTTGACATGAATCATCTGAATTTTCTATAAGTATACAAAATAAAGTAAGAATTATTTAATTGGTGATGGCGACTAGCAGCAGAATCCGGGATGCGAGTTTCGTCCTATTTAAGACTCGTCATCTGGGTATGCCTGCATTCCCTCAATGAGTGATGATGTTCCCATCGACGCCAAAGCGTTATCCACTAGACCACTTGGGCGATGAGAACCACCTTTTGTGTAATGGGTCATTATTAATTATATCATTGAACCTCTGTTAAGTACTTCCGCGTCTCCAGTAGTCTTCTAACTCATGTCAACCAGCGATCAAACTAGAAATCAGTTCAATTCTTATGACATCGCATAGTTGACTTAAGCATTTTTCTTCAAATCCTGAAAAAACTCGTAATAAAATCCATGCTTACCTGATATATAATTATTTGACCATATTTCAATTTTCTGTACTGGTAAATGACGTTGTAATAATGTTGACTGGTCAGCACAGAAATAAGTTCCCAAATCATCTGCTGTTAACTTATCGAAATGTAAACGGGGCGTGGTTTGTCCACTGATCTGTAATTTCGGTGGTCTATACCAGAGAGTATTTGCGTCATTTGAATTGCTTGAAGATGTCTTTGAATTACAAATAACTGTCAGCGGTTCACCAAGAGTACCTTCTATAAGTTCAGTTAGATGACGCTCGTAGATGAAGCTTTCGTAAGCTTGAGATGGCAGGGAGAAAAAGAGAAAGAAACAATGAATATAGAAACAGTTAAATAAAACAAAATGTTTTAAAATAATGAACTGGAATGAATTTTCAGCGTAGAACTGTGTCCAAATGTTTTAGTTGCCACACTTCATAAATTCACGCTTAACGATACAGGATAAAGGGAAACTTAAGGAAACCATGGTAAATGCAAAATATTTGGGAGAAGGAATGATAACACGCCGAAACATGAGAATTTAGTGCATTCATGATTGAATACATCTGAGAAGAAAGGAAAATAATTTTGAGTCAAGTCTCCGACAATTGTTAGTCTATTGGGAGATCCCTACCACGCAGTGTACAACTCCCTGACTGACTCATTTCAGTAGTCAATTCTTAACTCTTTGCCAAATTATTAATATTATTTCCTATAATTCTTAGATTAACATAGGGTTTCAGCCGCGCGTCTCCATTGCGTTCGGTTCTCTGCTAAAGTTTTCACCTGGCTCCAGGTCTGCTCACATGCTTTCATCTACTCTTCACATGACCTCCTCCATATCACTCTCACACTGACGACCAACTCGCTGCTTCCTATTCGAGTCCCACTCGAGGGTTTGTCTAGTGATGTCACTTAATAGTTTGTTTTCTTATAGTGTGGCCTATCCGCCTCCATTTCTTCCTGCTTATTTGTTTCACAATCGGTTATTGGTTGGTTCGCTCATTGTCAGAGATCGCTATTGCCTATCTTTCCTGGCCATCTGATCTTGAGTATTGAGCAAAGACAACTGTTAATGAAGGTCTGTAATTTGTTGGAGATGCTCTTCATGACGCGCCAAGTCTCTGATCCGTAGAGTGAGTAGCACTGACTGACTTCACATTGGAGTTGAAAATCCGGATCTTATTTTTGATGCTGAGTGTTGTTGATCTCCTCCACACAGACCTGAGAGTAATGAAAGCTTGTCTTGCTTTGATATCCTCGTCAGTCCTGTCCGCTTGCAGTTAAAACGATCCTTCCCAGGTAGGTGGGTAGGTGAAGGAGGTTGTTTCTTTCAGGTTCTTCCCATTTATGCTGGCTGATTGTTGTCTGTTGTTGTTGTTGCTGTTGGTGTTGGTCAGGAATCTTCATCACCTTGGTTTTCTCTATGTTCACCTGAAGTGATGTCTTATCTTTGTTGCTTATTCCGTCGACTTGTTGCTTTCCATTTGCATATCTTCCAGTTTGTGGGAAATCAGACATATAAAAAAAAGACGAAGTTAAGATTCTCCAATTTATTTGTTTGGGTCCATTTTATGTCTGTTTTCTCGCTACCCGTCACTGTTTGTCACATTATCCAGTCTACTACAGTCAGGAAAATCATTGGACATAGTAGGCAGCCAGCTTTCTCTTACTCCCGTCCTCACTTCGAAGGATTTCGTAAGTTTCCAGTTGTGGATTACTTGGTATGCAGCATTGTCGTACAACTGCTGAATGAGATGTATAATTGTCGGCGGCACCCTTTGGTATCAACGAAGTAGTTGCCAAATCACTATGTGATCGACGCTGTCGAAGGCTTTTTCAAAGTCGATGAAGTTGAGTGAGGTAGAGAGGTGACTGCCATTCCAAGCTTTGTTCAATGATGATCCGTAATGTGGCAATTTGATCAATACATGGCTTGTTTCTCCTGAATCCAGCCAAATTAATCCTATGTTATCTTACACTGATCGATGGTGAAGGTGGTACTTAGTCGTTCATAAGATGTATTTCATCGATTAACTTCCACTTTCTACCTAACACTGAACACAAAATCTGAGAACTAATGATCACACCTAGCAAGATAGGTCGATTGCAGACACCTATGGTTCTGGTCCTTTGCTAGAAGCATACGACTCATAGGAACTGTTTTTTTCCTGAGTACAAGACACATATCAAAACTATTTTTATCAACTCTGAATACAGGACTTTAATGTTATGTTAAAAATTTCGGTCAGAGAGCAGTAAATCAAAGATTATTGATTGATATGAATCTTCCTTAACGAATTAAATACTCAAAAATACTAAGTGATAGTGGTAACCAGGCAGAAACATGAAATCTAAACACCAGAGATTAGTTCTATTGATACTGGAGACAATCATAGAAACAATTTACCTGGAATATTCCAGCTTTTCCTCTATTTTAATTTTGACTGTAATTCTGGTGAATATGTGTGTGTGTAACATGATTGGTTCTTGTGTGAGAATGATTGTATAAATCTATTCTGTTGAGTAAAATAACACTGGTAGAAACTGTTGGAAACGTTCCAGCCATAACACTTTGCTGAGTGATTACGGATATATTAAAGCCATTTCTTTTATTGTGTCCTGCATGTGTAAGTTTATAAACTGATTTCAATATAGAAAAAATCCCCATTTAGATATTTAGAAAACAGAAGATTGAGCGAGCGAAGAAATATTTACTTTTCAATTAGATCCTCATCTCATTCTGGCTCTACTCTAATATAAATGCGTATAGCATTTTGATTACAATACACAACAGTTTACCAATCATCAGGTGGCACTGATATGTTTGTTAACAATAATTACCCAGTAAGTGTCAACATGTCAATGGAGCGGGGCGATAATTAACGGAGAAAATCAGTACACACAATTAAAAAGGTAGAAATGGTTAGAATAAATTAATTTTATAAGGATAACATGTAAATTAAAGATGAAGTGGTCAAAATAAATAAAACTAAAATAGTTTGGACAATTATAGTTTTTATAACTTTTTAAATTTTCAAGTGTTGGTTTTGTAGGGATTTGGTTTGATTGTATGGAGGATTTAATCATGAGCTGACATTAGTTAGAGAACCATTGGAAAACCTGGGAGTACTGGACAGCTGTTTCGTCCTAGTTTGGGACTCTTCAGCAGTACGCACCCACCGGGGTTCGAACCCAGGACCTTCTGGTTACAAGGCGAGCTCGTAGACCATTGAGCCACTTGGACCCGATCCAATGGTTCTTGAATTCTAACTTCTGCCAATTCACGACATAGCGCGACATTGCGAAGTGGTCCTGGGTTCGAACCCCGGTGGGTGCGTACTGCTGAAGAGTCCCAAACTAGGACGAAACAGTTGTCCAGTACTCCCAGGTTTTCCAATGGTTCTCTAACTAATGTCAGCTCATGATTAAATCCTACATACAATCAAACTTTTTAAATGTTTAAGGGGAGGGGGGCGAAGTAGTCCGATTTTTGCATTCATGTAACAATGGCCAAGGTAAGGAAAGTGGCTGTACAAATTTCTTCTGGACACATAGGCTTGGCTTTTTCAGGTGGATTCTGATGGCTTCAGCTGTATGTAGAAGACGAACTCATAGAGCAAAATTAAGATTATAGTAGGAATGCAATAGATAATTTTAAATGCTGCATTAACATCGACCTTATGCTCACTATCTATAAGGTGTGCTAAAATAGAGCTAGCTACGAATAGATCTTGTTCGTCCCTTGCTTAACCATGTTGGATGATGTTCGGAAATACGATGATGAACCTGCCTAACTGTGTCTGCGGAATTCATTTCATTCTTAACAGTGTAAATAAAGGGTCATAGAGTTCTCGCTCATCTGTAGTTACCTCATTTTTAACAAACAGGAAGTACATGAGACCCGTAAAGGTCCAAGCGCATCTGGTATCTGAGAATCAGGGAGCTTGTATATTATTTATCACAGAAATCAGTAAATTCCTCATATACATAGAATTAAGCATTCTATACTGATAAAATTTATCAGTAGTATATGAAGAAATGTTTACTGGCTTTAAGTAATCAAATAGCAGGGAAATACAACATTTGACATCAGAGAGAGCAAATGATACAGCATTTTGGAGATACACTGGAGACAACGTGAAAGGAACACAAAGAAACACAGTATGAAGGAAGTCCAAAAGTAGCACATCACGGAAGATCTGTGCAAATAGTGCTTTGATTAGATTTGTTTAAACGAGTTTGACCACGGATTGATATCAGTAAGAGAACCATTGAAAACCAGCACTGCAGTACTAGACAGCCATCTGTTTCATCCTAGTTTGGGAATCATCGGCAGTACGTACCCACCACCAGGCTTCGAACCCAGGAACTATTGGTTGCAAGGCAAGCTTTTATGTCATCCAGCCACCAGGACACGATTCACTGGCCGGCCCATGAATTCTAACTTCTACCTATTCATGATTAAGCGTGAACATCAACCAGTGTCATCGGTAGGAAATCCATTCTCACACTTAATTGGTTGGAACTCACTGGTCACGACTTCCCACTAGAATGCCAGGAAACTCCATCCTGTAACAAGTCACTAGCAAGCATCAGATATTACATATAGAGAGATACCAGATTGCAATTAACCATTTCTCCACCATGTCTTGCGCCTTCTACCGTCATGATCGCTGCCATCAACTTAATATCTTCAATCATACCCTACTGCTTGACGGATATGAGTGTTTTACAACTGCACACATCAACCAATAATGATTGCTGGTCAGACAAAGTAGATCTAAGCGTCAGAAAGCTTACCAGTGGCTCCTCAATCTTAGAAAATTTGTCTAAAAAGCTGATGAAGCCCATCCACAAATGAACAAAGAAATCATTCGGTGTTTAGATACAATTGATTTGGTCAGCAAAACCTACTACTTGACGTGAATGACATTCAACTAACTAATCACAATAATCTTTATTTTTCTTACTGCGCTTACTTGACATTCAAAGTGTCAAGCAGATCACATATAATTATTTCTCCCGTCGATTCATTGGAATGAAGTGCTCGGTCTCAGGCTGATATGTTGGCTTCTTGTGTGGATGGTTCGACGATATATCAGCATGTATTTAAAAGTTAATAGATGAATGGTGACTAGCAATGGAACCATAATGCTCATTTCATCCCATTTGGTACTGGTTATTGCTCGTCATCATCACCCACTGAGGAATGCAGGTACATCTAGTGAAGAGTCCTAAATAGGACGAAGTGCACATCCTTGATTCCACTACTAGCCACCATCCACTATACTGGATTC